GCTTTCCCAAAAGTTGTTCTCATCCAGGCACCAGTGGACTGCAGTTTCGACCTCGCATCTGTCTTATCAATACCCCCAGCAGGAGTCGAACCGTGACCGTTCAGAATAAGAGCTTAAACGAAAGTGTGAATATATACTGATTTACTGGTAGCCTCGAAACTCTGCTTAAATATGAAAAATTAAGTAACGCAGTCGATTGTTATAGAAAAAATACGTTTGCTTCATCGACAATCCCACCGATGAATGTGATATGGGAAAAACCTGGCCTTCCTTTTAATTCACTGGAAACATCAGCTCGACACATGTCATTGTGGGAAAATTCTTCTTCTACCAGTCTTTCATCACCTTAAACTAAATTGGGTGAATACATCTCATATTACTGAAATTTATATCCCCCATTTGAGCCTCCCTACAAGTCAGCCAATCCCCACTCATTTTGGTCGGGTCGTTCATATGCAACCAAGGCTTCTGTGCTTTTAAACCCGTTGGCTGGTGTGGGCAACTCCTTCAGCATGTTCAGGTGAATAACAGAAACAAGTCTTACGACCGTCCGAAGTTACGTGACAAAACCGCTCTCAGGCCTTTAGTACTTTAGAAATGTGCCCCGCTGAACGCCGTTGGTTGAACGCTAACATGTACGGTGGCAATTTATAGACTCAGATTCCAGTAGACCACTTAAATCTACATCAGGCGCGAATCTTTAACGGGTATCCCAGGCGAGAAAAGACTTTGCTTTTTGCTTGGGACCCCTCTTTTCTCTTTACACGAACTCCTTTAAGTGATGCTTCCTTCTGGGCTTAGCCGAGGAAGGAATAGCGGCTTGGCGAAGGGTTGCCCCATATTCGGACCGAGAATAATCCTTTTGAGTAGGAGTTGTTTTCGCTCTAGGTCACATGACGTGAGGGACTGATTGTTGAATTTTATGACAATCATGTGAGTAGGCCTCAAGAAGTCATTTAATTTCAATTTATCCTCTAAAAGGTATGACATCTCGGCCAGACTGGACTGTAATTCCGACCTCCACAGCGGGAATTAGCTTATACCACCTAGGGCAAATACAGCACTTATTTAATGATAGTCTCAAAACGTACTCAATACGAATATAAGTAATGTAGTCGATTTTAATAGAAAATGCAAGTTTGCTAGATCGACAATTCTACTGCAAAAATGAGATATTGGAATGGTCTGGCTGTCCTGGAAATTCACGTCTCCCCCGTGACCCACTGGTACCAGTTGCGATGATATGTGGTACGATGTAGATATTATATGCTACACCAACCTGGTCCGATTACTGTCACGGTTTGTGATGAAACCGTGACATAGTCGAAACTGCAGTGAAGTCTACCATGGGACATAACTTCTTTTGAAAGGCAAGGTTCGGTAAAATTTAAAGGTATTATGGCGAACCTTATGCAAAATAGAGTGGATAGATTTATCTCCTGGATCTAGTAAAAGTATCGAATCATACTAAGTGAAATTGTAATTAAATTTTTAGGTTAAACTATTGGATAATCGAAAAGCTGACTGCGTCAATGAAACTCATGAAAAGGGATATTTTCCTATTTTGTTGTTCTCGAAGCTACCAAGCGAGCTTATTCCTGAAACTGCTGTCGAGAGGAGGAGGAGCAGGAGGAGGTAATGAATTATGGTTAGATGACTCCTGAAACGAGGGTGACAACTGCCGAATGTATCTCGTTAAGCCGAGATGAACCTATGCAGGCCCGTTGTGTCCGGCCCTTTTCTGAATCCGGGCCCCAAACTTCGATCATGCAATATTTTAACGCCGCTATATACTCTCGGTTTCGTTTGAACTTTAATTCCTTCTGTCTAACCCTTTCCGACATGCTACCTCTCGTACCAGATGCCGGTTTTCAGTTCACCAGCCAGTCTGCTGGTCCTAGAGGGTTGCGAGAATGCTAAAAACGATCATGTCCAAATATCAGCGCTTCTGCCGGCATGTGAAGCCCTCCTGGTTCCCCTCATATCTCAGTTTGCTATTCTTCATTTCTCTCTCAGTCATTATATGTGCAAACATATCTACACATGCACGGAAACACGCACACGCAATCACACAATCTTCATCTCCGTTAGACATGCCTACACTAGTATGTCCATATAATTACGTAGTCTAGATCTAGGCAAAGTAAAAGTACTTCGGCTTCATGTGTATCTTTGGGTACGCCTGTATTCGACTTGAGCCGACGAGATACAGACACTTCTAAGAAGTGTCCATGACAGATCTCTAAATCTTGGCTAACCGGAGATGTGCGCTTTTGTATTAGTCTTCTCTTTTGCATGTCCATCAGGGCGGGGTATCCGGCCGAATTCGAGTCTGAATTTAGATCACGTACTGCCGGTAGACCGGCATCAGGACTAGCAGACAGGCGGATAAAGGCCGTTATAGGTTGTGAGGGTAGGTGACACGGTATTTTTGGTTGGCCAAGTTGGCCTGCTCTGATATTGCTATAAAAGGTGGAACTTCAACACTGTTGACTTTGCTCGTTTCATTTCTTCAGATCGGCTTGGGTTGTGAGTCCGAAAGTGTGGCAAGATTTTTTGGGGCGCTTTAGCTAGTCTCTTTGTGCTTATCTGTGTGCGTGTGTGTGTGTGCAGCTTCGAAGTTGACGTAAACTCGACCTCACAGACGCCAGTTTCTCAGAGTCGCCAAGACTTTCAAGGACTTTTTCCTTTGAGGCTCCAGCTCCGACTAAGGGATGCGTGAAATTGTGCATATTCAAGCGGGTCAATGTGGCAACCAGATAGGATCAAAAGTAAGTTAGGTCTACCCTGTTTTGAATGATGCTTTATAAACACATTTTGAGAGAATTCTCCCTCTTTTGGCTTCCGCTATTCGGAAGACTGTTTGCCCCACTGTTCATTGGAGTCAAGAGGGCAGATGAAATGCAATAAAATATCTTACAACTGCAAACTGCTCACTTGGTATATAGAAACGTTTTCTGGTATACGGGAACATACGTGCATGCATATGGACACTAGTCCCACTATACATGTGAAAATAAAAGGGCCTGGCTTGACTTGAAAGTTATTGGGCAAAGCCCAAATACAGCCCAAAGCTGTTATTGGGCAGGAGTTTCCATTTTGAAGGAGATGTTTGTTTGGAAGAAATTCGTGAATTTGTCTTACCTCGAGCCGAAGGAGGATTGCTGCCGAGTAAATATTATTGGATTAAGGGAAGAAGTTCTCCGGGCACAGTCCTGCGACCCCGATGAACCCGTGCAAATCGTTCGTCTGTATTGCCATGAAAGACATCGTCGGAACGAGAAATCATGATTTACGAAAAAACGCACCAAATTTTCTCGGAAAGAATGTAAGTTAGGCATGAAATAGCCAACCAAATGATGGGATGCCTGATTAAAATCATAGAGTTAGGTTTAAGAAAGTGTGGTTGCACCAAACCAGTCTATCTTTCTTGAATTATTGCACTTGGTGAACCTCTTCGTAAATTATTGTTTCACGCTCTGATGATGTCTATAGTGGTATGACCAATTCACAAATTCCCTCAAGCCAACGTTGCTTCCAAAATGAAGAGTCGTGTACAAATAAATCATTAGGGGCTTATTAGAAATCTAGATTTTTTCGTCATAAATGCGCAACAGAGTGCAAACCTGACTGTCGGAAGCCCCGGGCCTACTTAGAATCCCACTGGGGGATCAGTGAAATCTAGGCGA